TAAGTCACAAAGCAATACAGCCTGACACGTGATAAAAATCTATGCCTCAAAAATATCCAAAATAACTCTTTCATTAAGTATAAAATAAAAATCTAATTATAAAAAGCATTATGTGTTAATTTAAGCATTTTTCTTTATTAATGGTACAGAAAATAATGGTGTATCTTAAAATAAATGTTGGTTTAGATTCATACAGATATAGATTTTTTGTCATTGGCTTACAATTTTTTCCAGATGCATCATCTGTATAGTAAATTTTTTTAGGCATCTTTTTGCCTACAAAGACTTTACTTTTTTTTTTTACTTTACATTCTTATATAGTCAAATACAGTCACTAGGTTGTCAGACTTTCTTTTTGTATCTAAAAGCATCTCACCCACTGTTAGATTATATATGTTCTCTTTCAGATTTACAAAAGATTTTTGTTCCATTTTTGCATATGAGGATTTGATCCAACTGGAATTATTTCTGAATATGATTGAAGATGGTGACTCACTTTTGTTTTCTTCCAGATTGAGAAATACTAAAATTCTGTGACCTTTGGTTATTAAACAGTTTCTTACTGAATTGAACTGCCATTTCTGTTAGTAAATTCTCACATATAATCATATCTATTTTTGGATTCCTTAGTGTGTTCCATTAGTTGGTCATTACTCTTACCAGATATAGAGGCTTTTTAGTATGTTGTAATATCTGGTATGGCAAGTCCCATACCACTATTTTTTAAAATATTTTTATCTTTTTAGTTATAGTTGGACACAATACCTTTATTTCACTTATTTTATTTTATTTTTTATGTGGTGCTGAGGATCAAACCCAGGGTCTTACAAGGGCGAGGCGAGAGCTTTACCGCTGAGCCACAAACCCAGCCCCATCCCATACCACTATTTTTCCCTTTCCTTTCCTTTTCTTGTCTCTTCTTGGATCCTTATTCTTTTTTTTTTTTTTTTTTTGTACTGGTACTGGTATTGAACTCACTTGAGCTTCTCAAGATGCTGGGACTACAGGCCTGTACTACCATTCCTGGCTTTATTCTTTCTATAAATTTTAAGATTTTTTTAAAAATTCAATTTCAAAATCAAAATAAAACACTGTTGGGGGGCTGGGGATGTGGCTCAAGYGGTGGCCTGCTCGCCTGGCATGTGTGCGGCCTGGGTTAGATCCTCAGCACCACATACAAACAAAGATGTTGTGTCTGCCAATAACTAAAAAATAAATATTAAAAATTATCTCTCTCTCTCTCTCCCTCTCTCTTAAAAAAAAAAATAAAAATAAAACACTGTTGGGATTCTAATAGGAATCGCAATGAAGTTTCATCAGGTCTTCCCCAAGATTGATATGTCTTTTCATTTATTCAAATCTTTGTTTTTAATAATTTTAAATTTAAAATTATATCCATCTATATTTTATTATTAAATTTATTCTAAATATTTTATAGCTTCTCACTGCTACTGAGAGTGGAATATATTCTAAGTTTTTTTTAAAAATAATTATTTTATTTACTTTTATGAAGGCTAAAGATAGAACCCAGTGCCTCATACATGCTAGGCAAGCACTGTGTCACTGAGCTATACCTCTATATATACATGTAAGGTATCTACCTTATGCCAATTCTTCTATTGATTCATATAAATTTTACTTAAGACTTGGGTTTTCGTAGATATCATGTCATCAGCATGACTCTTCCAATATTTGTGCTAACTTCAATATATATATTATATATATAATTATATATATATGGCTTCCATTATATTATATATACAGCATATATAAAAGTTATATTTTTTCCTATAAAACTGGGTCTTTTGTTTTTTCAGTTCCTGGCTTTGAACCCAGGGCCTTATGTATGCCGGGCAAGTGATCCTACAACTAAGCTATCTGCCCAGCTCTTTTAAAAATTTTTTATTTTGATAAATGATTTCCCTACCAAAAAAAATTATTTTGAGGCATTACTCCATTAAGATGTCCAGGCCAAACTGAATAGCTGGAATTATAAACATGGGTCACTAGGCTCTGCTAAAACTGTGTCATTTTTTCTTAACAATTTAATAATTATCTTGACAATTACAGATATGTTAGGCTGTTTGGTAGTATTCAGAAACATCACAGTAATGGTAGTTTTCCTGGGTTTGCAATCATTGATAATTATAAAGAGTTACTTTTAATCAAACCAGTAAAGATGGCATTTATGCATCTATCACTTTCAGGATTATGGGTAAGCTCAGTATACGTCCCCCAAATAACCCCTTGCTCCTTTGTTATATGTTATATATCACTATTCTTTCCATTTTAAATCAATAATTTTTGTAGTTTTATTTATAATGTCCTGTGTGATTTTGTTGTTTATTAGCTGTTTTATTTTTCCAACATTTTATTATAAAAATATTAACACATAACAGAAAAATTGAAGGAATTTTATAATGAACATCCATGTACTATTACCTAGGTTCTGCCACTAACAATTTAAGCTGTGTTTTATTGAGTAGCAGATAGGAACATAGACTTCCTGGATCCACTATTTGTAAGCAGTATGATTTTGAACAAGTTATTTAATTTCTCCAAACCTCATTTTTCTTTTCTGTAAAGTGAGAATAATAATAGTAGTTAGGTCAAAGTGTTGTTATGATGGCTAGACAAGCTAAAATATGTAATGCACTTAGAACAAAGCCTCATAATTGTAAATACTTATGCTCACAGATTAGATGGTTTGGGCCGCTACAACAAAATACTAATTGACTATGTAGTTTAAACAATAGAAATTTATTTTCTCACAGTTTGGGGGATCAGATCAAGGTCCAGCAGGGGTAGTTTTCTAACTAGGATTCTATTCCTGAAGTCCAGACAGAGCCTGCTCCTGAAGTCCTCACATGGCCTTTCTTTCCCAGTGACCGGATAGAGAAAGGGAGTAGAGAAGAGCCTTCTGGTGTCTCTTTTTATAAGATCAGAAAAGTCATTAGATCAGTGTCCCACACTTTAATTTTATTTAATTTTAATTACTTCCATGAAGATACTATCTCTAGATAACAATCACATTGAGGGTTAGGGTTTCAACATAAATTTTGAAGGTCCACATTAGTTCATAGCAGCTAGCAAGTCCCATAGTCTATTTTCTAAACTGTTATTTTTTGGAAGCTATTAATGGAGAAATGTACAGTATTTGGAACAATGTACAACTATTTTGTTGAGGGGAGACAATCCAGCAATAAAATAGCATTAGAGTATAATAATTTCTATGGCAAATGTCTTTTTTTTTTTTGGTACTGGAGATTGAACTCAGAGGCACTCGCCCACTGAGCCCCATCCCCAGCCCTATTTTGTATTTTATTTAGAGACAGAATCTCACTGAGTTTCCTAGTGCCTCTCTGTTGCTGAGGCTGGCTTTGAACTCGCAATCTTCCCGTCTCAGCCTCCTGAGCCTCTGGGATTTCAGGTGTTAAATATCTTAAAATGTGTGAAAAACAAACGAAGTGTGTGAGTATAGCAGACTGCGCATCAAATGTTAGCAACGGTTACCCCTGTTAGCTGAGATTACAGGTTACCACTATTTTCCTGCTTTTGTGTTTTTTTTTTTCTGACATTTCAGAAATGTAAGGAAGGCAATTAACGTGAGAACTTTTATTGAATGGTAGAACAGAAAGCTAGCTGGTTGTATTCTTTAAATAAAACACTGCAATACATTCAATTTTTAGCCTTTTTCCATATACATATTATTCAAGAACGTGGTATCCATGGAGTTTAACAAAAAAGTGATTCCAGTCGTTATTTTTTGTCAAAAGCTGAAAGGTCCACGGTAGACACTTTGACGTGAACCCTCGGCAGGGGGCACAAGGTGCCATCTCCTCTCTTATGAGTGGAGCTGGCTTATTGGGTTCGCATTCTGGGTGTCCCAATCGAGGGGACCAGGGGCGGGGCGAGCACCCAGGCCCGATCTGGCGGAGGACGCCGGGAAGGACACGCAAGGCCACCGCGCAGGCGTATCGCGCTGGCCTCCCCGGCGCTACACGGCACCGTGGGCGCACTGCGCTGAGCCCTGCTGGCTGCGGCCGGGAAGCTGGTGTGCTGTCCCGCCGGTGAGCGGGGGCACGGGGACGCTCCAGGGATTGGGGAGGGCAATGAGCCGTGAAGCCCCAGCAACTGCTCGCCATCACCCTGTCGCGCGCGGTGCGCCCTGATTCTGAGCGGTTGACTCAAACCCAGACTGCGAAAAGGTCCCTGCGCCGTTGCCCACGAGCGGGGTGTAGCCTTTCGGTTAGGGAGGGAGAACCCGGATGGATCGTTGACGTCATTTGTCTCAGTATAGCCTCTTGGTTAGGGAGGGAGAACCCGGATGGAGCGTGACGTCATTTGTCTCAGTATAGCCTCTTGGTTAGGGAGGGAGAACCCCGATGGAACGTGACGTCATTTGCCTCAGTGAAGGGAAGGATCTGGGATTCACACCCAGATCCTTTACGGTTCCAAATCGCAGGCTGTTTTAAGCATAATCGTGCCTGTAACAAGGAATTGGGATCTTTATCTCTTTGTGTTTAGTGACACCTTCAGGTTTTTGGACCATGTTTTTTTTATCCACCATTTCCTTCCATCTTTTCTGAATATTTTAGGGTGATTTTGTACGTTTTAGAAGCTGATGGTATAACTGAGGCTTCTTGATACTTTGTTGACACTTATGTTTTTTGCTCAGCATCTCCAGGAGACTGTAGGGGGTGGGGTGGCTCAATAAATACCTGGAGCATCCAGCTGCCTTGACAGGTTAATCCAAGGTGGGGGATGTGTCTTGAGAGCCATTGACAAAACAAGCCACACCCCAGATTATGGTACTGTATTTCCTCGCTGGTTCCTGAGACTGAGGACACGGAGGAGCAGGAGTTGGTTATTAGAGGAGGCTGGTACAGCTGTGAAACCCCCGGTCTGGGGTCCCAGCAGTTTCCTCATCAGAAAGTGGACAAGCCCAGTCAGGACTGTGGATGAGGCAGAGTCCCTGGGAAAGGAGTGCAGAAGTCATCATGCCACAGCAGCTCCTGATCACCCTGCCCACCAAGGCCAGCACCTGGGTGAAGTTGCACCATCCAAGGAAGGCCAAGGAGGGGGCGCCCCTGTGGGAGGATGTGACTAAAATATTTGAAGCAGAAGGTGAGAATGGGGTGGGGGTGGGGAGGGAGGGAAGCATTCTCCTCCAGTGTGGGAAGGAAGGTAGAACCAGGGAGTAGAAGCATCTCTGGGGAGACAGCTGGGTGAAAAGTCTTTGGAGTTCTTGATAATGGGTGTGGGGTGGTCTAGGGTTTTCTTAAGTAGTAGAGGTCACTTAAGCCCAAAACCAATTCTTCTCCACCCACTTGAAGAGCAGAATGGAGTTGGTAGTTAGGTCAGAAGCAGAAGGCAGCAGAGAACATACCTGGAGTATCTTGTGCTAGAAAACAAGGAAGAGCTTAAAGACTGGTGGACATATGTCCAAAGGTTGTGGGACCCAGGTTCAAGAGAATCCCAATGGACAAATTCTGGACAGTTTGTGTTCTTTATTGATTGTAATACCTTGAATAAATAAAAGTTCCACATGTTCTTTCTCTATCTTAGAATAGAGAAAGATGGCTGTTGCTGCAGCTCAGTGGCAAAGCACTTGCCTAGCACATGTGAGGCACTGGGTTTGATCCTTAGCACCACATAAAAATAAATAAATAAAATAAAGGCATGTTGTCCATCTACAACTACAAATTTTTTTTTAAGTAGAGAAGAGAGAAGGGCTCATTTGCAAATATTGGAGGTGGTTAATACACTGATTTCTTACTTTGAAAATAGATTATTATGGCCAGGCATGGTGATGCACACCTGTAATCCCAGCGACTTGAGAGGCTGAGGCAGGAGAATCACAAGTGCAAGGCTAGCCTTGCCAATTTAGCAAGATCCTGTCTCAAAAATAATATTTTTTAAAAAAGGGTTGGGGGATGTAGTTCAGTGATAAAGTGCTCCTGAGTTTAATTTCCAGTACCACAAAAAACAAAGAGAAATAAAATAAATTATTATGTGATTGAATGATGCATTTATCTTGCCTTTTACATCTTCAGTTGGTGAGGGGAAGTTATTTATAGAATTTTCTATAAAATCACTGCCAGTAATAACTAATATTTTATGGCAAATGAAATAATTGAAAGGTTGATAGGAAACAGATACTCACATGGTTTTAGAATATTACACCCTACAGATTACTTGCTAAATGTCAAGGAAAGATCATGGTTTTTCCAGTGATGAGGTCTGGTGGACACCATCCCAATCAAATATCCCAATAATGGAATAACTTGGTATTTTGTAGTTTATGGACAATGCTATATATACACATAGCATCCACAAAAATATTTTGCTTGATCCTAAATTAAGCTTACAGATTGAACTTCTTGTTTACAGAAAATTTAGGGGAAGAAGAAGTAAAGTTGAGAATGCAGACGCCTTCAAGTCCTGACGCCCTGGGGCCCTGACCAATTACTAATTTCATTGACTTGGGCATTGTCCCAGCTTGGATAGCAAGCATGGCTCCAGGTGTAGGCATCACCTGTGGGGGTTGATCTACACTCACCTGTTCCTTTGTAATCCTGCCCCTTTGCCCTTTTGGGGATAGAATGTTCCATGGAACCTCCCCTTGTGTGTTCCTATATAAGAATAAAGAATTCCAGTGGCTCTCTCTCTTTCCAAGGACCCTTAATGTCACAGAGCCAGCTCCAGATTATTGAAAAGGTAAGTCTGTGTGGTTGTGTGCTTTCTTTGTCGTTTTCTTGAGTTATTGGAATAGTCAGGTTTTGTGAACCCAGGATTAGGTTGCCAGCACAGATAGATGGCGACATTATGATGCCTGCAACTTTGAAATGGTTCAGAAAAATAYGGATCGATAAATGACAAATTTTAATTATATGGGTGCCCACTATTCAGGATGTAAAGGTGTAGTAAAATACAAGACAGTAATTCATGGGCCTTAATTTATAGTTTGTACTTTTAAAAAAATTTTTTTGTAGTTGTAGACTGACAGCATGCATTTATTTTATTTATTTATTTTTTAGTTTTAAGTGGATACAATATTTTTATGTGGTGCTGAGGATCAAACCCAGTTCCTCACATGTGCTAGGCTAGCACTCTACCATTTGAGMYACACTCRCAGCCCCTTATTTGTTTATTTTTATGTAGTGCTGAGAAGCAAACCCAGTGACTCATGCATGCCAAGCAAGTGCTCTGCCACTGGGCTGTACCCTCAGCCCAAATAGTTCGTATTTAAAAAAATTTTTTTTTAGTTGAAGATGGACATAATTTCTTTGTTTTATTTATTTATTTTATGTGGTGCTGAGGATTGAACTGCTGTACACATTCCAGGAAAGTGCTCTACCACTGAGCTATAAACCCAGCCCCTATAGTTCATATTTTTTGSGGGGAGGGTGCTGGAGATTGAACTCAGGGATACTTGACCACTGAGCCACACCCCCAGCCCTATTTTATTTTATTTAGTTCATATTTTTAATACCTTACTTTCAGCCTTTAATTCTCAAATTCTAGCATCTTGGCATGGTTTATTCTTAGCATTTTAGCAGAGAAAAAAATGAACAAGGTCCAGTTTCTCCCCATATGCTCATACTTAATTGAGGGAAAGAAGCTTTTTTTTCATTAAGGGTGTCTGAGATAATTTCACTTGAACTGGACCTGAAAGATATTCTGTTTTCACAAAGTATAGGATTTGGAGAAAAGTACTGAGCTGAGTCCTGTCCAAGTACGTTCAAGGAATGAACACGATTGTGTGGGCAGGTGTGTCTAGTGGCTGAAAGATGGCAATTAGAAAAGGCTAACACTTGGAGAAGTAGTTATGGACTGGTTGTGAAGGGTTTTGAAGTTCACGGTGAAGTATCTGGATTTTTCTTTCTTGCTGTGGGGAATCTCTGAGGATTTTTGAACAAAGGAGTGACCTGATATATCTGTTTTGGGACCGCACTGACCCTTAATACCTAAGCCACACACTGCAGGTCCTCCTCATTAAGGAAGCTTGGGCTACTTTTGAGTTGCTCTTAATGTCCCTCTTTGTGAGTATATTAGGGGAGGAGCCCCATTCARTGAATCTGTGCGTGTAGTTTTTCTCCTTGCGGGATTTAGGAAGATGCCACCTTCATGGTTCTTTTCTTTCCCCAGCTGTGCCATCTCAGCAAGTTGATGAGTCCCAGGGAGAAAGTTGCAAGGATGAAATGACTCCTGGGCTCCTGACAGCGGGATCCCAGGWGAGCTGGAGATTCCTGCTGAGGATGAACTCAGGGCTTCACGTGTGCTAGGCAAGAACTCTCCCACTGAGCTACATCCCCTGCTGATCTCCAAACTTTGATTTTCTTTGACTCCATCTCTTGGATTTTTTTTTTTTTTTTGTAGCCTCTTCTTCCTCAGGAAACTTGGTGGCATCAGTTGATTCCTCTCTGGTATAACCCTCCTCATTAAACCTCTTGTTTTAAGCAGACCTCCAGTCATTTATCCAACAAATTTAAAAATTGTGTTGAGGTGCATGTGAGAGTGGAAGTATTGCCTTTAAAACTCAGAAACTATTTGGGAGAAAGACAAACATTAAATAAATAAAACATTGGATATTTTGAACAACATTTTGTTTTTTTTATGTACTATGATTGAACTCAGGGGTGCTTTACCACCGAAATACATTCCCATTTCTTTTTGTTTTTTATTTTGAGACAGAGTCTTTCTAAGTTGCTGAGTATCTGGCTAAGTTGTCGAGCCTGGCCTCTAACTTGWGAGCTACCTGCTGCTGGGCCTCTAACTTGTGAGCTACCTGCCTCAGCCTCCCAAATCACTAGGATTACAGGCATGTATCACTGTGCCTGGCTCATTTTGTTTTACTTTTTCTTTCTTTTTTGTGGTGCTGGGGATTGAACCCAGGGCCTTGTGAATGCCGGGCAAGCACTCTACCAACTGAGCTATATCCCCAGCCCCCTTATTTTACTTTTAAACAGCCTTTAATTAAAAAAAAATATTTATTTTAATTTTATTTTACTTACTTGCAGTCCTGGGATTAACCTAGGACTTATTAGGCAAATACTTTACAACTGAGCTACACACCAGGTCCATTAAGTAACATTTTAAAAGAATCAGGTACCAGTATCCTTTGAAGTTACTTTTTAGTTGACCTTTAAGAGAAATTTTTGATCAAGCCCCTGGGGCACAAGTATAGCAAGAGAAGGAATGTGTTTCTACTCTATCCTTCCTAAGACTGAATATCAGAGAAGATACTGGTAYTTTACAATCCATCTTTCCTTAGAAGGCAGAATTCATGCTCCCTCCTAAAATCTTCTGTTCTCTCATACTTTGCTTATTTAATAGAGAAACCTAACTAAGGATATTTTGCTCATTCTAAAGTATTCTTACTTTAGTCAGTTCTTTCAGCCCAACAAAGGTCCCTGTCTTGTGGCCTTAGCCCCCTTTGAACTCTCCTTTCCCCCAAATATTCCTGAATGGTTTTGTCCTTAATCTAAATTACTTTACATAACATTTTGTGGCCTTCTTAATATTTCATGAGTGTTTTCCTTTCAATCAAATTGCAACTTACATGCTTTGTGCTTTGATTTAAAATCTCCAACAGGGAATCAGGCAAACAATTATCAAGCAGGTATCCAGGAAAACTTGACTGGAATCTTTTTGCATCTAGACAAGGTCAGAACAACTTCCTGAACTCTGGCTTGAAAGGAATGTGTTTGATGTTCTAGGAACTGTTAACCTTCAAGGATGTATCTGTGGACTTCACTCAGGAGGAGTGGGGGCAACTGGCCCTTGATCACCAGAATCTCTACCGGGAGGTGATGCTGGAGAACTATGGGAACCTGGTCTCAGTGGGTAAGGATTGATTCCCCTTGTAAAATTGGTTCTCCTATTGGAAGAAAATTCTTATTTTCAAACTAAGGACTTTGCTTGGGTTTTTGATTCTGTACTAGAGATTTCTAGTACCTTCTGAACACCATGTCTGAATTGCTGTGGTCTTTTGCCYCACTGTTTCTGTTCTATCCTTCATAAGACTGAATACCAGAGGGCTATTTTTTAAATTCTTGGGTTGGTTCTTTGACCTCAACATGTACAGTCTTTTATTCTCCATTAGCAGGATATCAACTTTGCAAACCTGTTGTGATTTCCCAGTTGGAGAAAGGAGAAGAACCATGGCTGATGGATAAAAAGATTTCGGGAGGTTCATGTTCAGGTAAGGGTGAGGCAGGTAGGGCCTTATGATGTTGTTGGCCAGAAAATTCCCCGAAAGCCTTCTCCAGGCCATGGAGAGATGGTGCACACAAGAAAGCTTAATTTTCCACCTTTCACCCGCTTCCTACATATACATCTTTTTGCTAGTGGAGTCAGAGAAAAATAGATGCCTTCTTGATCTTTCTCTTGACCTGATTTTGTAATCTTCCCTTGGTCCAGTGTTCCAAGCCTTGCTCTGATCATAGCTATTTTCCTTTGTATATCTGAAGTTCACAGGTCTCTTCTCATTAAACACAGCTCACTCATTCTGTCATTTTATCATTGGTTTCACTCTCTCAAAAATTTCATTTTATTTTATTTTTCTAATTCTTATCCTGTGATCAGAGCTTCAATTCTAATTCTCTTTTTAACTTATGACTCTTTGAGAAATCACTAGAGAATTCCTTATTACCAATTCTAACAGCTTTTTTTTTTTTTTTGGTACTAGGAATTGAACTCAGGGGCACTCAACCACTGAGCCACATCCCCAGCCCTATTTTGTATTTTATTTAGAGACAGGGTCTCACTGAGTTGCTTAGCTCCTCACCATTGCTGAGGCTGGCTTTGAACTCGAGATCCTTCTGTCTCAGCCTCCCCAGCCCATGGAATCACAGGCGTGGGCCATTGCACCTGGCAATTCTAACAGCTTTTAACAGTCTTCTTCAATGTCTAAGAAAAGTAATGATGACAGGTTTTTACCACACTTGCCTCTGGAAATCCCATACTACCTCCATCTTACAAATGAGGGAAAGAAGGCTGGTTAAGAAATTTGTACATCCAGGAGCAGTGGTGCATGCTTTAATCCCAGCAGCTTGGGAGACTGAGGCAAGGTATTTAGTGAGATCCTGTCTCAAAATAGAAAATAAAAAGGAATGGAGATATAGCTCAGTGGTAGAGCACCCCCAGAATTTAATCCCCAGTTCCTGGAGGGGAAAAAAAAAGAAATTTGTACCAATTAGTTAGTATTTGATCCCAGGATCTCCCACATTCTAGGCAGGTGCTTCACTACTGACTTACAGTTCCAAGTCTTTTCTTTTTTTGAGACAAAGTTTGATGTTATAACAGTGCTTTTGTATAGAGATGCTGTAAATGTCAAGCTATGTGGCTGTGGAGTTCAGATGGATGAACAAAGCAGTGGTGAAAATAAGTCTCCCAAATCCACGMAAATACAGGCATGGAACTGAGAGCTGAAAATATCACAATGTATTTGTGGGAATTTCCACAGAAATACAACAGCAGTATAAAAGACAAGAGGCTCCTCAGAGATTGTGGCATAGATTATGTCTGTGTTGACTGGACTTTCCTCAAATTTGGTGATCTTCTTACCTTCTAAGTAGCTGGAGGTATGCACCACCATGTCTGTCAGGAATCAATATTTTAATTCTAATCATCCTGACTCTACAGTTCTCATACCATTATTCTAGATGACAGCATTAGGTTATATAGATTTCACCACCTTGGTATCCTTTCYTCCACCAGGTAGATTAATAATTGTTTTCTAGTCTCCCTCCTGTTGCTTTTTCAGTGGCTTTCATCAGTGTGTTTTGAAAGGCAGATATGTAATTTCCTGATTTGTTAAGATAGGCTAACCTACTACAACAAATAGACTTTAAAATTCCACAGCACATTTTGAGCCATTACCTCACATCGAATTTTTTTCTTAATCATATACTGCTCTGAAGGAATTGTTTAGGTCAGTTGACAGTTTTATCTTGCAACTCGGAGACCAGTGTTACTTCTTCTCTGTGGCGCCACCATCCCTGGGGTTTCCTCAGTATCTGCATGTAGTTAGCGTAGAATAGGAGCTCAAAGGAGCTCATTTAGGAAGTTTAAATGGTCCAGCCTAGAGTGGTTCACATCACTTTCCTCTCATTCACTTAGCAAGGGAGACCTTTGTTATCTCACTCAGTCTAATTCTAGGGAGATTGGGAGATATAATTTAGTTGTATGTCCAAAAATGGGGARAACAGATTTCAGTGACCATCCATAGTCTGTGCCACAATCTCCAAGGAGCCGCTTGTCTTTTATACTACTRTTGTATTTCTGTGGAAACTCCCACAAATACATTGCAATATTTTCAGCTCTCAGTTCCATGCTTGAATTTTCACCACTGCTTTGTTCATCCGTATGAACTCCATAGCCACATAGTCTGACATTTATAGCATCTCCATACAGAAGCACTGTTGTCACTTCAAACCCAGAAAATTAAAAAACAGAAATTGTCTTCTCTTCGAAACAGGTTTCTCATGCTGACTTACCCTGTTCTTTCAGTCTCTGGAAATCATGGCATTAGCAAGAATGTATTGGGCTGAGGTTGCAGCTCAGGGGTAGAGCTCTTGCCTAGCAAGTGTGAAGCACTGGGTTCAATCCTCAGCACCACATAAAAATAAATAAAATAAAGATATTATATCCATCTACAAATTAAAAAAAWTAAAAAAGAATATATCACATTTATACTTAGGTTTGCCTTCATTCCCCATCCTTCTTCCTTGATATTACTTGTTAGTTTTGCTTCTACTTTTATTTATTTAKTTAGTTAGTTTTAGATGGACACAATGCCTTTATTTTATTTATTTATTCTTATGTGGTGCTAAGGATCGAACCTAGTGCCTCATACATGCAAAACAAGTGCTCTGCCACTAAGCCACAATCCCATCCCTCTACTTTTATTTTTGATGCAGTGGCGAGTTTCATCATTTTATACCTGTATTATAATTTCTAGTTGGATTTGTTGATGTCTTATTTTCTTCTTTTGAATCATCTTGAATGTTACTACCAGATTTGGCCATGTAACATCACTTTTTTCTATTATTTTCCCCCAATTGAATGCAGGGCACTTAATCACTGAGCCACATCCACAGCCCTTTTTATTTTGAGACAGGATCTCACTAAGTTGCTTAGAATCTCACTGTGTTTCTGAAGCTAATGTTGAACTTGGGATCCTCCCCCTCAGCATCCCAAATTGCTGGGATTACAGGCATGCACCTTATGTTACTCCCTATTCCCTGAAATAAGGAATCTCAAAATCCTTGCTTGCCTTTTAATCCCATTCCAGAATTTATTCAGCTATACCTGAGCCCTTTTTATGTGTGATTACTAAAGTGAGATTAGTCCTAGGGAATAAGATTTATCTCTGGGCAGGAAATATTGATACGTTAGAATGGAAGGAACCAAAATGGGCATAGAGATGAAAGAGTAAATATCATAGAAAGTACCTCTCCCAAAAATGTTCCAGATATACTGTGGATAGAATAGATAGTTTTATCCTTATATAGAATTTTCTCACACATTGAGAAACCATTTTCTACTTCATAAGAGGTAGAAAAATTATAAAGACTGATCAAATTCAGGGAGTGAGGAGGTTAAGGGGCCTTTGTTTATGGAGTGTACTCACAACAAGAGTTTCTCTGCAGAAAATCCAGTGGAATATGGCAAGAGTGTACAAGAATAAATGCATAGTAATGTAGATTGTCGTGTGACTTGTAATAGTGAAAAATTGGAGATAATCTAAATATTTTTAATGGGAAAAGTTAAATTATCATTTGTCCTTACTGTAGAAGGCAGTGCAGTTGTTAGAATGAGAAAAGTCTAAACATGAAGACATAAATGGAGGCTCATAGATATAGTTGAATTAATAAAGCAAAACAAGAAATTGGAGTTTATCTCAGTTGTAGAGCAGTTGGCTAGCTTGTATGAAGCTCTGTGTTTAATCCCCAGCACCACAACAAAATAAATGCAGACCTGTGTATATATACCAAGATCCTTTTTCTGTACAAATATGTATGTGAAACCATGTATAAAGAAATGTATACATTTACACAGACATAGCTGGGAAATGTGTGTATACATTCTCAAATCCTAAGACATGGGGAATCTCATCTCAGATAGGAGGAGGCCAACCCCATTTTTAATCAATACATTGACTAAATAATAAGCCACTTATTTGTTAATAATATAATATTTTATGTAATTATCTAATACATAATATATATGATAACACAATTAATTATATGAAACATACATTTCACATATATTGTAATGTTTAAAAAGTGTGATTGTCATGTTTAAAAAGTGTGAGAGAGAGACTTGTTTTGTGGTTGTGGGGAATGAACCCAGGGWATTGTACATGCTAGGCAAACACACTACCACTGAGCTATATCTCCAACTAGAATTTTTTTAAAAGTACTTTTCTCTTAAAGAATTTTTTTTCTTAGAAATATGGTGTTAGAATCCTGCTTTTCTGTGGCTCAGGTTGTGGCTCAGTGGTAGAGCACTTGCCTAGCACATGTGAGGCCCTGGGTTTGCTCCTCAGCACTACATATAAATAAATAAAATAAAAGTGTTGTGACCTAATAAAAATATTTTTAAAAAATCTTGTTTCTCATATATATATATGAGAATATATGTGTGTGTATACACACACATATATTCATACACACACCTTCACATACACATATAGTAAATGGACAGAATACCTTTGTTTATTTATATGTGGTGCCGAGGAGCAAACACAGTGCCTTACACATACTAGGTGAGTACTCCACTGCTGAGCTACAACCCAACCCTAGAATTCTGTATTTCTTAATTATATTTTAAAATATTTGCCCTTATTTTCTTGGTTTATTCCCTTTAGCAATTCACATGGATGAGCTCCTCGTTGGTTTTCAAAGCTTCTTTCCTCTTACCATTTCTTCACTTGCTTTCATATCAGCTCTTTAGGTGGCAGGATCACTTTGAAGACAGTCCAAGCCTTCTGTAGCTAGTATGTATATTTTCCCATCTGTTCTCATTGTGGCAATTTAATTTTTGATCTGCAGTAAGTATGGATCATTTTTATGTTTGGCTTTCTTTCAGACTTGGAGAATAAAACAGAAACCAAAGAATCAACCTTAAAGAATGAAATTTCATGGGAAGAATTACATTCTGGGCTGATAAAGGAAAGGTCCACAAGGAGAAGCACCTTGTATTCTACATTGGGAAGAGTCTTAAGATGTGATAAATTAGAAAGTTACCTGGAAAAACAAGGTAGATCACCTGAGGGGCCAATCCCCTCAATCCATAAGAAAATTCTTACTCAAGAGAAAAGCCAAGAATCTAAGCAATTTGACAAAAAAGTTAATTTTAGCTCAAAAATTACCCCAGGACTAGCAGGTTCTTCAAGAACAAAAGATCATAAAAATGACACCCCTGGAAAGAGAAACAAATGCAATTTAGATTTGATTAATCATTCAAGGAGTTATACAAAAATGAAAACCTTTGAATGTAACATTTGTGAAAAAAATTTCAAACAACTCATTCATCTTACTGAACATATGAGAATTCATACTGGAGAGAAACCTTTCAGATGTAAGGAATGTGGAAAAGCCTTTAGCCAAAGTTCATCCCTTATTCCCCATCAAAGAATCCATACTGGTGAGAAACCCTATGAATGTAAGGAATGTGGGAAAACCTTTAGACATCCTTCATCCCTTACTCAACATGTTAGAATTCATACTGGAGAGAAGCCCTATGAATGTGAGACATGTGAGAAAGCCTTCAGCCAGAGCATTGGACTGATCCAGCATCTGAGAACTCATGTTAGAGAGAAACTATTTACATGCAAAGACTGTGGAAAAGCATTTTTCCAKATTAGACACTTGAGGCAACATGAGATTATTCATACTGGGGTGAAACCCTACATTTGTAATGTATGCAATAAAAACTTCAGCCATAGCACATACCTAACTCAGCACCAGAGAACTCATACTGGAGAAAGACCATATAAGTGCAAGGAATGTGGGAAAGCCTTTAGTCAGAGAATACATCTTTCCATTCATCAGAGAGTTCATACTGGAGTGAAACCTTATGAGTGCAGTCACTGTGGGAAAGCCTTTAGGCATGACTCATCCTTTGCTAAACATCAGAGAATTCATACTGGAGAAAAACCTTATGACTGTAATGAGTGTGGGAAAGCCTTCAGTTGTAGTTCTTCACTTATTAGACACTGCAAAACACATTTAAGAAATTCCTTCGGCAATGATACATGAAGTATATGCAGCATTAGAGGAACCATATTGGAGCAAAAGCCTCTAAATCAATGGTTTCCTAACCTTTAGATTTTAAGAACGATTATGTTTTATTATTTTCTCAATACTTCAGAATTGAATGATTGGATAAATGTTACCAACTGCTAATTTTGCTGTCTTAAAATTAACAACTTATTATCAGCATTGTTTCAGAAAAGGGAATTTTAATATTTAAAAATGTAGAAAAGATGTAATTATGATAAATAGCCCATTATAGTGAATTAACACTATGAAATTCTGCCAAAGTTGTCTTTACTTTTTACCTTTCACTATGGACAAATGAAAATTTCATGGCAGGTCAGTGATCTGGGGATTGGCCATTGAGAATCACTGTTTTAAATATCCCTTTAACAAATCAGAATAAAATATAGCACAACCTTTTATTCTATTCTTTTATATAGCTATAAGATGTATACTGAAAGTGTTGGTCATAGAAATAAAGGGAGCTTTCTAGAATTGATGTAAAACCACTATCATGAGATACTTATGCATATTGTTTTTTTTTTTTCCTGTAGACCAAGAATTGGCAAATGGTTTTTTTTTTGTTTTTGTTTTTGTTTTTTTTTTTTCTGTAAAAGGCTACATGGTAGATGTGTTCAGGTGTGGCTATATGGCTTCTGAAAGAACTATTACACTCTGCCGTTTTGCACAAAAGCAGCCTGAGATTATATAAACTGGAACATCTGAACCTTTATATTTCTTTTTATTTTAATTTTTTTGTAGTTGTAGATGACAGAATGCCTTTATTTTATTTATTTATTTTTTATGTGTTGCTAGGGATCGAACCCAGTACCTCACACATACTAGGCAAGTGCTCTTCCACTGAGCTRCAGCTTCATCCCTGAACCTGTGTATTTCTGTTAGGTATATATCTAGGGCTGGAATAGCTAAGTCAAAATTTAGCTTTGGTAGATACTACCAAATATATTTCCCCCCAAATTTTCTAGAAGTGTCTGAAAAATCTGTTTTTTAATTTTAATCTGAGTTAATTTATCAGTTTTTCCCATTTAATAAGTCTATGCCTATTTAAGGTCATGAAAACATTCTCCTACTTTCTTCTAATTTTTTTTTGTTTTACCCATTATTTTGGTTTAGATATGAGGTGTCCCTCAAAAACTCATTCATTAGATAATACAAGAAAGTTTTGAGGTAAAATGGTTGGGTTATGAAAGCCTTAAACTAATCGGTGCATTAATCCATGATAGGAATTAACTGGGTGGTAACTATAGGCAGGTAGGGTGGGAATGGAGGATATGAGTCACAGAGGGTGTGGTTGGAGAGCTGAGCTCTTTCTCTGTGCTTCTTGGTATCATGTCCTRAACTGCTTTCTTCCACCATGATGTTCTGCTCACCTCCACTCCAAAACAATGGAGTTGGCCGTTTGTGGACTGAGATATCTGAAGCCATGAACACCAAATAAACTTCCTCCTCTAAAATTGTTCTGGTCAGGGCTGGGGCTGTGGCTGAGTGGTAGTGTACTTGCCTGGCATATGTGAGGCACTGGGTTTGATTCTTGGCAACATATATAAATAAATAAAATAAAAGTCTATTTACAACTAAAAGAAATTTTTAAAAAATTGTTCTAGGGCTGTGGTTGTGGCTTAGTGGTAGAGCCCTCGCCTAGCATGCATGAGGCACTGGATTCATCTTCAGCACCATATAAAAATAAAATAAAGATACTCTGTCCAMCTAAAACTAAAAAATAAATATTAAAAAAGAAACAAAGTTTATAAAAAGAAAGTTGTTCTGGTCAGGTCTTTTGGTCATAGCAGTGAAACACCTGACTAAAATAACTGTCATTTAAGGCTGCAATCCATCTGGATTGATTTTTGTGAATGAGTCAATGTGAATATCCACTTGCCCAAGATTCACTTTCTTAAAAAGACACASTTTCCCCCAATCTTATCATAAATATATTTGTGTCCATTTCTGAACTTATTCCCTTCCCTACCTCATTTTCTTAGTTACTATTAACTTTTTAATAGGTTTTTATATTTAGTAAGATGTCTTCCAGAAAAAGTACATTTTTTTTTTTTTACAAAATTTAAATTTATTTGGCTGGAGCAAAGCTCAGTGACAGAATACATACTTAATTTGAGGAAGGGCTTGGGTTGGATCTCCAGCACCAAACAAAAAAAAAAAAAAAAGAAAGAAAAAAAAAAGAAAAAGAAAAGAAAGAAAGGAAAAAGTAACAATGAATATCTCTACCCTACTCCATGTAGTCATACAATATGTAGAACACTTTAACACCATTCACCTCTTTCCTGATCTGTATGCTATTGATCTTGGATATATTCTGTTTTTTTTTTTTCATATTGGGGATTGAACCCAGGGGTGCTTTATATCCCCAGCCCTTTTTATTTTGTGTTTTGCAACAGGGTCTTACTAGTTGCTTAGGGCCTCACTAAGTTGCTGAGGTTGGCTTTGAATTTTCAGTCCTTCCTCAGCCTCCCCAGTTGCTGGGATTTACATGTGTGTGCTACTGTGCTTGGCTTTAATTCTGTTTTGTAAAACCACAAATTATTTTAGTATATATCATTAATGCTGATTTAGATTTGCTCATATAACTTATGCTTTATTTGTTCTTTTTACATCTTCATCCTTTTGTCTGGAATCATTTTCTTTCTGCCTGAAGTTCAACTTTGAGAATTTCTTTTAATGTAGTCTGCCAGGGGCAAACTCTCAGGTTTTGTTTGTCTGAAAATGTCTTTGTTTTTAACCATGTATTGAATTCTGTGTTGTCAAATATTTCCTCACAACACTTTGGAAATTTCATTCCACTATCCTGTTTTTCATTACTGCTGATGATATTGGCTGTCACAATGTCTCCTGTGTTAATTATCAGTTGCTTTACAATGTTGTTAGTTATTAATTGCTGCATAACAAATAACCCCAACACTTAATGATTTAAAAAATAAACTTTGAAGTATTCATGAGTCAAACATTAAAGAAGCTCCTTATATGGGAAGTACTGGCTCAGAATATAGTCAAGATGTCAGGTGAAGTTGAAGGCATCTGAAGGCTTGACTGGGTACAGAGGTAACAGAACAGGGAACAATTCATAGTTCTCTTTGCACTGACTCCTGGATTACACTGGCTCACTTGCATGGCTGACAGTTGATTCTGGTAACTCAGCTGGGTTTCCCCAGATKAATYAATCTGTGTTAGCTTTTCATTGCTGTAAACAAAATGCCTGACAAGAACAACTTAAAGGAGAAAAGATTTGTTTTGACTCATGATTTCAGGGGATTCGGTTCATGGTTAAATGGCTCCAACATCATGGTGGAGGGGTGGGGCAGAGGAAACTTGCTTAGCTCATGGCATCCAGGAAGGAGAGGAGGAGAAGACAGAGGGAAGTGGGGAGGAGAGGGGAAGAAAGGGCCATGGAGAAGCTAAACCCTTCTAGGGCATGCCCCGTAGTACTGGTCCCTCCCCTCAGRGTCCATGTAGGCATCAAGCGATTAATCTATTGATGAGGTCAGAGCCCTCATGCAATCACTTTGGAAAGCCCCACCTCTGAACCTTGCTAGGAGATCATGCTTTCAACAGGAGACTTTGAGGGACATTCCAGATATGAATCAATACAAAGAGTGTGCAGAGCAGAAATGGCAATATCTTTCATGACTTAACTTTGGACACTATCATTTCTACTACATTATTTTCTTTTTTGTCTTTGTTGATGGACCTTTATTTTATTTATTTATATATGGTGCTGAGAATTGAACCAAGTGCCTCACCCCTGCTAGGCAAGTGCTCCACCACTGAGCCACAACTCCAGCCCATCTACTACATTATATTCTTTATAAGCAAGTCTTTCTCACATTCGAGGGGAATCTCCACCCATCGGAGGAGGAGTGGGCATTTTATAAAATGACCATAGACTTTTTAAGAGTTTATCTTTGATCTTTAGCATTTTAAAATTTTACTATTATGTATCTAAGTGTGGGTTTCTTTTAATTTATCTTACTAGAAACTTGTTGTCTTTTATTTGTGATCTGGTTGCTTTTATAGGTACTAAAAATAGTCATTTTTTATGTGTTTAAATGCAGTCTCTGCCCTAGCTTCTTTCAAACTTATGTTAGAGCTGCTGCTCACTGCTCACTGTATCCTCCATATCTATCCTTTCTTTTCTCTCTCTCTCTCTCTCTCTCTCTCTCTCTGTATATATATATAATTTTTTTTTTGTACTGGAGATTGAACTCAGGGCTTGATACATGCTATGTAAGTGCTCTTATCACTGAATTACATCCAAAGTTCTTTTTCTGTTTGTTTGTTTCTTTTTTTTTAAAGAGAGAGTGAGAGAGGGGAGAGAGAGAGAGAGAGAGAGAGAGAAACTGAGACACAGATATAGATACA